GCTTCAAGGATTCTTAACCCCTGGCCAGTCTTGTTTCAACTTGTTTCAGCCTGGGTTTTCTGAGAGCAGGCCCTGAGGCGGAGGTTAGCTTGCAGGGAGTTTAATAGGGAGTGCTCCCAGGATCAACTCTGTGCAAGGGAGAGAAGGAAGCGGACTGGGAAGAACAGGCTCTAGAGGGTGGCCCTCAGAGTTGTCCCAAGAAGGGGCAACTCCTAAAGAAAAGTACTTATGTATTAAATATTTGAAATATACCCTGCAAATGTCTGCATGACTTGACACTTCCTTTCTAACCTTGTTTTACTAAACATTCCCACTAATTTCAGCCACACAGACTTTGTTTTCAAAAGAAACAAAACATGTGACTGCCTCAACTTTCCCAGGTGTTGTTTAGAATGCCTGATGTGATGTCTTCTCTGCCCAACCTTATCCTTCTCCATAGACCCCTCACTGGGCTTCCCTTCCTTCATTCTCCTAGTCACAGCTTCAAGTTTAGTTTTAAAATAGAGACAGGGTCTCGATATATTGCCTAGGCTGGGTCTTGAACTCTATGTCTCAAGTCATCCTCCTGCCTCAGCCTCCCAAAGTGCTAGGATTACAGATATAAGCTACTGTGCCCATTCCAAGTTTATTCTTACAGAGGGGATGGTGGGCATTTCAAAGCCTAGATACACACACTGCCTTTTGGGGAACTTGCCCATTGAGATTACATTCCAATGAGAGGACAACCTTCCTACTCAGATAATCTTTCTTCTAACCTTCCCAAAGCCAGGAGAGCAATGCCTTGGGCTTGAATGATGTTCTCTCTCAGAACTCTAAATACTTAGGGAGTGATACAAGGATGGGGGCAGATCTTTATCATATCTACTGCAGTGTCTATGGTGATTTGCAAATTGAAATGTTTCGTGACTTAGCCTTTGATATATTTTCTACTTCCTAGTCTTCTTGAGCATTTTCAGATTCCCATCTATATTCTTAGTCTCTTCTTCCAGTTATCTTTAAATTTTTTTTTAGGTTAAAAAATATAGTTTATTTAAAAGAGAGAGAGAGAGAGAGAGAAAGAGAGAGAGAAGATTCACCTCCCCAAGGTAGGGGAGGGGGGCCAAAGCCAGGAAGCATGGTGACAGCCATAGCTCAAAGAGCACATGGCCACACCAGAGTCTAGCAAGGAAATGACAAAAATGGCTGCTCACCTATCTTTAAATATTAATCTCTTTGTCTTTCTAATATATTCCCTTTTTGTTTAAATTTGACAGAATTTGTTTTTGGTTTCTTACTGGTATGAATACTGATTAACATAAACACCTTCACTTTCAAACCATCTTCAATCCAAAATTTCCCCCATAATTGCTCCCTTTGAGTTGTTTAGAATTGTGGGCCCTTTTATATTTTACTTCCCTAGTATTCTATACTCTCTCTGATGGCAAGAACAAAGGATATATTGATCCACACTCTTTCTGCACGGTGCCTGTCCCTAGTATCTGTTATAGTGCCCGATTCACTGAATAGTTAATCACCATTTCTTTCTATTGTTCTGAGAGATGAGGTCTTGCTCTGTCATGCAAGCTGACATGCATAGGCTATTCACAGGCGTGATCATAGTTCACTGATCCCTTGAATGCCTGGGCTCAAGGGATTCTCCCCTTCAGCCTCCCGAGAAGCTGAGACTATTGGTGCTGCCATGCTATGGGCCACCACTTCTTAATATCACCAAAATAATCATTCTGGGCTTGCAAACAGAATTCTCTTTACTACACTGGGGAAGATGATACAAGGTTAATGCCATTAGTTTCCATATTACATATTCAAAGAATACATCATCAGAAGACTGGATTCATATGTTGTTGGCATCACGCGTACTATGCTCACGTTATCACATATTGCAGCGCAGCCAAATCTGCCAATAGAAAAAACAAAATCATCAGTGGGACAAAAGGGAAAGCAGGTATACTCATTGTTGATGACACTAAATTAGAGCTTGACTGTGATACAAATATTCTTTCTAAATTAATTGGTCCTTTGATCATATTTTTAGATTTGGTTTTGAATAACTGCATAAATCTGGCAAGGTCTCAATGATTATTGTTCACAAAAGTAGCAGTCCCTGCTTTGATATCAGAATTATCAATATCTCTGATTTGATAGATTATCTAGTTTAATAATGACTAAAAGAGAGAATTTTAATTTAAAAAAATTTTTTTAAACCAGGCACAGTGGCTCAGCCTGTAATCCCAGCACTTCGGGAGGCTGGGGCTAGTGGATTGCCTGAGCTTGCAGGTTCAAGACCCGCCTGGGCAACTTGGTGAGACCTCATCTCTATGATAAATCAAAAAATTAGCCAGGCGTGGTAGCGCTCGTCCATAGTTCCAGCTACTTGGAAGGCTGAGGCAGAAGGATCACCGGAGCCCAGCAGGTTGATGCTAGGGTGGCCATGAGCATGCCACTGCACTCCAGACTGGGTGACAGATTGAGACTCCTACTCAAAAAAAAAAAAAAAAAAAAAAAAAAAAATCAGCCACGAGTAGTGGTGCACACCTGGGATTCCAGCTACTTAGAAGGCTAAGGCAGAAGGATCACCTGAGCCCAGGAGGATGAGGCTGCAATGGCTGAGAGTATACCACTGTACTCCAACCTAGGCAACAGAGTGAGACTCCAACTTCAAAAAAAAAATTTCTCACTCTGTCAGCCAAACTGAAGTGCAGTGGCATGATTATGGCTCACCTCCTGGGCTCAGGCGATCCTTCCACTTCAGCCTTCTGAGTAGCTGGGATCACACACGTGCGCCACTATGTCCAGCTAATTTTTTGACTGGATTATTTTAACTAGAATTTTCACTCTACCTGCTCTACACTCCAACTGAGAAGAAATCTTGCCTTCCCCAGCCCCCCTACTGAGTGATGTGAAAATGGGGGGGCATAGCCCTGTCAATGATCCTCATTTTTATCCCTCTCCACCAGGCCCTCCAGACACTGTGAGATGAAGCCCTTTTGATCATCTTTCCTACACTGAGTAGAAGTGGTACATAGCCCTTTCTCTCCCTACCAAGTGGAGACAAAACAGCTGAAAACTTCCCCAAATTGGTAAATCTATATATCAAAAGATTGATCAAATCCAACAGGTTAAACTTAAAGAAATTCATACCAGACACATTCTAATCAAATTTCTGAAAATTGAAGACAAAGAAAATAACTTGAAATCAGCCAGAGAAAAAAGGCACTTTATCTGTGGAGGAAGAAAGATTTGAATGACAATGGATTTCTCATCAGACATCATGAAGGCCAGAAGGAAGAGGCATAGCAGTTTTCAAGTGCTGAAAGCAAATAAATTAATGCACCAATTAAAAGACAGAGATTAGAAAGATCCCAAATAGCCAAAGCCATCAGGAGCAAAAAGAACAAAGCCAGAGGCACAACACTACTGGATTTTAAAATGTATTGCAAAGCTATAGTAATTAAAACAGCATGGTACTGAAATGCAGACACATTGATTAATGGAATAAGACAGAAAGCCTAGAAGTAAACCTTCACATTTATGGTTAATTGTATTTTGACAAAGGTGCCAAGAATACACAATGGGGAAAGTCTCATCAATAAATGGTTTCTGAAAAGATGTAAAGGAATGAAAATAGACCCTGATCTCACTCATTATGCAAAAATCAACTCAAAACGGATTAAAGACAAATGGCAGAATTGAAACTATAAAACCTCTAGAAGAACACATAGGAGAAAAGCTTCATGGTATTGGCATAGACAGTGATTTATTGGATAGGACCTCAAAAGCAAAGGCAATGGAAGCAAAACTAGACACATGGGATTGTACCAACCTAAAAAAGCTTCTGCACTGCAAAAGACACAATTAACAGTGAAGAAACATGAATGAAATCGGAGAAAATATCTACAAATCATGCATCAGATGAGGGGCTAATATCCAAAACATACAAGGAACTCAAACTACTCTCAATAACAAGAAAACAAGTAGCTCTATTTTTGTTTTTTTGTTTTTTTTTGCTTTTTTTTTTTGAGTTGGAGTCTCACTCGGTCGCCCAGACTGGAGTGCAGTGGCCGCTCCCGACCACCGCAGCCTCGCCTGCTGGGCTCCAGCGATTCTTCCGCCTCAGCCTTCCAAGTAGCCGGAATTACAGGCACGCGCTACCACGCCCAGCTGATTTTTTTAATTTATTGTAGAGATGAGGTCTCGCTGCCCAGGCGGGTCTCGAACCCGCGGGCTCAGGCAATCCACTCACCTCAGCCTCCCAAAGGCGCGGGATTACAGGCTGAGCCACCAGCCCGGCTTAATAGCTCTATTTTTTAAAAGGGGCAATGGACCTGGATAAACATTTCTCGAAAGAAGATATACAAATGGCCAACAGATATGAAAAAGTGCTCAATGTCTCTAATCACCAGGGAAATGCAAACTAAAGCTACAGTGAGATTTCATTTCAAATCTGTTAGACTGGCTTTGATTAAAAAAGATGAAAGATAACAAGTGTTAGCAAGCATGTGGAGAAAAGAGAACCCTTGAACTCTGTTGATGGTATTATAAATTAGTATAGCCACTTTGGAAAACAGTATGGTGGTTCCTTTACAAACTAAACATAGAATTACCATATGACCAAGTAATTTCACTTCTGGGTATATATATCCAAAGGAATTGAAATCAGTATGTTGGTGAAATGTCTGTGCTCCCATGTTTATGGTAGCATCATTCACAATAGTCAAAATATGGAAACAACTTAAGTACCTGTCTATGGGCAAGTAAAGAGAGGATATTGAGGATATAATCTTCTACATACTACTTGTGGAAATATAAATCTTGGGACTTTTGACAGTTACTGCAAGTACTGTGACTCTAAGACCTAGCAATTATCTTTTCAGGCATAAGTTTATTCACATCTATCCTCAATCTTGAAAAAAAAAAACCATTCTCCCTCTATTCATTTTTACGTAGAAATTTTTACGTAGAAACATTTTCAGGGAAAGACCAGGTCACAAAACAAGACTTACCCAGTCAGTGTCTGATGTATTTTTTCCAGATGACAGCAGCTCTTGAGGTACGGAGGATGGCCTCCCTCCTCCCACATGTACACATGCAGAGAGCCATCGAAGGATGTGGTAAGCACATGGATAGAATCCTTCAAAGGATACCCAGTGTGAGTGGCTAAGGAATCAAAGTCAGATCAATAAGCTTCGGGAGGAGGAGGGTCATACGTACCACCCATAAGTTGCAGATGGCCTCCTGGTGGTACTCAAATCGTTGCAGCAGGATGCCACCGATGGTGAAGAGGAGCAAGTACTTCCCACTATCAATGACAATCAAATATCCATCACTCGTTCCCATGCACAGAGGATATGGTAGATTCGCTGGCAACAGGAAACTTGCAATTTCAATGGCTGTTTTCATATAAAACACATATGCACACATACATATGCAGGTGAATATAAATCATTTAGTGAACAATATCTTTACACTGAGTGAAAAATCGTACTCCCCCCTTTCATGGGCTCCAGTCCAGTAATGAAGGGTAGTCCAGCAACCTGATAAAACATGTCACTGGCCCTGGTAGTGGGTGCTATGACACAGGAACAGAAGGCTATGGACCATAAACAACAGCTCGGGCATTGAGGGGAAGCCTGTAATGGGAAGGGGTATTGGAGCTCAGATGCTAAACATAATGGGAATCTAAACATGCCTGCCCAAGAAGGCAGGGTGGAATGTAGAGATCAGTTGGGTGTTAGAGTCAAACAGGCATGCGTTCACTCCCAGCTAAAGAAATTCCCTGCTCTCTTTACACAGATTGACCTGCTTACATGAATTTATAGCCTAACATGAATACATGTGATAGGGAAGAGAAACAAGTATTTCTAATGTGGCATGGCCTACCTTGGACGACTGTTTGGCCCCTAGTCTTCCTAGTCTTTAGATCAAAGGTGATAAATCCTGTTTTTTTACCAGAGCTACTTTGGGACATCAGAATTATTCTGTTTTTCTGCCTTGGGGCCCAGCAGCCTCTGCAGCATGATTTGAATGGAAGAGAGATAGACAGAGGGGTGCTGTCTTCTGAGGGTCTCAGTAAGCACTCCAAGAAGAATACCTAAAGGGAAGATTACACGTGTCATCAGGTAAAGGGGGAAGCTAGGGCATCTCGGTACAGGAGCAACTCCAGAAAAACCTCCTTGAAATCCTCCTCTTGGGGTCAAAGCTTTAGTCAGCATCCCAGAAAGGGTTGAGTGGTCCCTGCTTGTCACTCTAACATACAGGGAACTCACTGTCATTGTAACCTTCATGTCATGTTCACAGGGAGAATGGAGTCCCTGGAGCATGCCAAGGGGTTACAAAACCATCTTGCCACATCAAACCCCTGACCAAGTTGAGGTTGGCTAAGTCGACTTTTGCTTCTTGGAGGACTAGTCAAGGACTGTTTTGCTTTTCTACCTCCTCCCTGAACTCCTTGCTCTTTGGTGCCCAGTCCACAGGTACCATGTTACAAGTGGCCTGCTCAAAGGCCAAAGACTTCCTTAGAGTGACATTCATAGGCTTATGCTTATTTATTTACTTCTGGACTTCTCTGTACTTTCCAGCCAAGGTAGATAAAAGGAAAATAAGGAAAGCAAAGTGAACAAGGTTACTGATGATTCTTATTTCTCGATACCTCTCTCACCCTCTTCCATCTCTTTGGCAGACTTAGGCTTCATGAATAAATTTTCATTAATAAACATTTGCCATGGCAACTGGATACTATTACTTCAGAGAGCATTGTTTCCTGGCTAAAGGAATGGATTCCCCTTGTGATTTGGTCTTGGAGAGGAAGGAGAAATATGTCTGGTCCTCACTGAACTCTGTAGTTTCTCTATACACTACCTAACTTGACCTTCCTCGTGTATGACCCTCCCATTCCAAAGTCAAAGCCCACAGAGCAGCACCTACCTTTGGCAAGATACCTTTGGCACATGTCTCACATGCAAAGACCCATTCCTTGTCAGGAGAGCAGAGTAGAAGTTCGACAGGCCAACGAAATGCATCAACTTTAGAAACATCTCTTAACCCAGGCACTGTAAATGTGTGGATGTCACCTTTATCATCACCAACCTGAAACCAAAGTAACCCCACCATAACAAAAGAAAGAGAAATGAAATCCTACAGTATACAGGAGACAGCACTGTCAGCTGCAAGATATGCCACCGTTTCTTCAATCAAATCATGGAGATCAAAATCTCTGACCAGCCTACCCCAAAAAGCTACTGGAATGACCCTATGAAATAAAACTTTCTAAGTCCTACAGAACTCTTCTCAAAGATGGTTATTCATTAGCACATCAACACTACTTTTTCTCAATTTCTCCCTCTACTGTCCCTGTCCAAGTTCATGGACTATACAATAATAGACACTTGAAAAAAGGGATATTACATAAAATAATTCAGGAAGCTTTTTTTTTTTTTTTTTTTTTTTTTTAAGAATGGCTGGAGAAATGTACTTGAAACAGGTCAAAGGCCAAGATGGTATGGAGGTTAATTTTCATTGGCGTATCGTAACTGACTCCCAGGGCATGTAGAAGGGATGACTCCAAGAAGACAGATTGGGATGTGACAGTGATGGGACCTTGATACCTCTCAAGGCAGCAGAAATGTGGTTGTGTGGGTCAACTCCAGGTTCAGGGCTCACTTACCATCAGGAATGGGCCATCCTTTGTGAGAAAGGTTTCTAAGGAATAACAGGCGTGAGGGATTGTGAGAGCAGCCAGAGCATCTCTGTCCTGACAGTTCCACACTTTGATAGTTCTGTTTAGATCCACAGTGATTGCAAGCTGCATCTGAGGGAGGGTTGCAAGTTTTATGATTCTGAACTTCTGGATTGGGCTTGACCAGGTCATAATGCCCTAGAGAATAAGAATAACACTATCTGTGTTCAAGGAAGTTTTTTTGCATCCTACTATGCTTTCATTCTGTCCTTGTTTATTCAGAAGTCTATTCCAAATCAGAGCCACTTTTTGCTGCTAGGAAAAGGATATGAAAATTCTACATATCTTAATTATTTTGAAAGAGTAAAGAGGAAAGCAGAAACTATACAATATGCTCAGAGGCAAGAACTCGCTATATAAGAGACAATGAATGAGCCGGGCTCGGTGGCTCAGCCTGTAATCCCGCGCCTTTGGGAGGCTGAGGTGAGTGGATTGCCTGATCCCACGGGTTCGAGACCCTCC